TCGACATCGAGTAAACCCTGCCAAAGAATTATGATTTACTTATTCGACATCGAGTAAACTTTGCCAAAGAATTATGATTTACCTATTCGACATCGAGTAAACTCTGCCAAAAGAATGAAACCTTTCCAGTAATTATTGTCTATGATAGACAGTTAATTAAAAAAAAATATTTTCACAGTATTACTAATTGTTTCGCCTGTTTTTATTTAATCATTCCCCGCGAGTTCTAATATGATTTCTCGGATTCCCCACCGCACCAGAATATTATTTCGAGGAAAAAACGAATAGTAGTATGTGCATGATTCGGAGATGAATATGAAATGAGGTATTGAGAATGGTTGATGTTCATCACTTTTGCAACAAAAATATTTGTAATGATGAGAGAGTATTGTCTGTATCTCTACCACAAACGACTTAATGTTCAATGCATTAGCTCGCTTATTTAGTATATAGCAAGCATCTGGGACCGACAAGTGTGGTGATAAGGTGACATAAGGAGCAACCCACGGGCATTTAATTGCTCATTGGTACCGCTCCTGGGAAGGTCTGAGATCAGGTCTCGATCAAATTTGGATGATCGTATCCTCTAGCAGGGGAACGATGTAATCCATCGTGGTACCGTACCAGAAACCTGTCCTCGGTACCAAACATCCTGAAGTACAAGATGGTTTATTCCCATTTCATATGGGGAAAACTTGATACGTTTGTGGTGTTGGTACTGAGTTTGAACCACGGTATTAGTACTAGCTGTGCTGAGTGCGATTGTCACACGCATATGAATGTGAACTCAATTCAGACTACTCTCTCGCCACACCTGACTTTTCGAAATCTTACCTCGAATTTGCGACTAAAAGGTAGCACTGCTTTTGCGACTAAAAGTAGCATTACTGAGCGAAATCGAACGTTTTTCTTTTTCTTACTTTGAAATTACTGATAGCAGTTTGATTATAATTTACCTAATATTTTAATTCTTCCCTTCTCACTAATTTTGTGGCCATATTCCTTTGAATTATCATTCAAAAATGCATAGTTGATTTACTCATCAAATAAATTAGATTATTTACAAATAAAATAGTTTATTTACTTTTAATTTCTCTTAATTATTCTCATTTATTAAGCAGCTGGAGCATTCTGACTGATAAGCACCATCAATTGTATTTCTCCCGTAGTAAATGCTAAAATTTCATATACTATCCATGTTTAATTAAATGGAAATAAATTTTGATTATTTTTTTATCGATATATTTACAAAAACTTGTCATCGATTATTTGTTACAAGACATAAACACTAATACATACACACATCCATACACACACACACACACACACACACACACACACACACACACACACATAGAGAGAGAGAGAGAGAGAGAGAAAGAAGGAGAGAGAAAGAACAGGGAAGAATGGCTTACGTTAGGTAAAATCTCGAAAATGCATTAAACAGAAACAAACTATATATAAGTAACAATTGATACAAATAATGAAAGTAATATGTGAATGAAAAGTTTAATAAATGAGAATATATAAATGAAAAATTCATTAAAGAGAGAAAAATTGATAATCATAAATCTTTCCAATGTACATCTTAAGTAGGAATCGCACATAAACTGCAAGCTATAATGCAATACATAGCTTATGAAGTATCTTTAGAAAGTATAATGAAGAAAGAAAAAAAATGAAATTAAACAAGTAGGAAATACAGAAATAAGGAGAGAGATCGCATAAAGTTATATTTCGATGGAAATAACTAGTAGTACATTTAGCAGTTGAAAAAATAAAAAAAAAAAAATTAAGCAAATATTTCGCTCAAATAAGCAAAAAAGCTGAAAATTGAAATAAATGCCAAACCAATACTACTATTGACCGTATATGCAATGCAAAGAACATTAAAGCAGTATAAAACCGTAATATGCATAGCGAATAATTCTTATTCTACTATAGCAACTATCGAATAAAACTTGAAATTATTAAAAAAAATCAAACGATGAAAAATTAAGCTTTGATGCTACAAAAATAATAATCATTCTTCATTTCATTAAATGATCTATTGTCAGATCAAACGAAAAAAAATAAATATAAAACAACTGAGTTTA